GCCGGTTTGAAAGGTGAGCTTTTTTTGTTCAAGAGTTTTACGGCTTTACGTGCTACCTAAGTTTAAGGAAAGACCGCAGATTGCCATATGTTGCTTAGAATGATTAGGTAAATTAAAATATCTAGCGACTGGTTTCGATGTGTCCTTGTCATTGCTTTCCACGTCTGTTCGGTTAAGATTATGTGGTTCTTCTTAGATAGGTGTCGAAGTTTTGGATGATCGAAGCATTTAGTCGGAACCGCAGGATTTCATCGATTCTATTTCATCATTGACTTGACTTGAAATGCTAAAGTCTCATTTTCTTTGGGAGTATGCTTAGTTCTTACTGCATTTTCTGCATGCTGGCTTCACTTAAAAATTGCGCTTAGAAAGCACTTTATTCTCTAGACAAAAATAAATAGTTGTCTCAAAACATCTCAGTTACACGTAATAAAATCAGAATAACTGAGTAACACTCTAAAGCGTTCCAGTAATCATAGTATCTGTTCCACCTTAAAAATAAAGGCGACATGCTATTTTGGAGTCTTGCTTTAACATAGCGTACTTTAACACAGCGTACGTACCTTGTTTATCATTTTGGTGTTACTCAGAATTATTCCACGGCAAGTTAAGATACTTCTTCTCTCTAAAGCTTCTGTATGGAATGATGTCCTTCTCCAGAAAGGTGTTCCTTTTTATACTTCACCTTCAAAACAGGGAACTTAGCACCATTACGAGACAATTATTTCATGGATTGAGAACTTATCGTCGGAACAATGAAAGGCTATTCTTATCAAAATCAGGGTAACTGTTTGACGTAAATAAGTTATCAACCGTTACAACGGAAAGCATTTTTGAACTGGGGCTTTCCTTTTACCAAAATATGCAACTTGCACAAGAATAAATCCAGGGTACTGTGTTGCGTGTAAGGAGAAATTTAATATAAGTGGCTATGTCATCAGTTCACATTTACATTCTAATATACGTACTAAATTAATTTTTTGTCTTAAATCATAGTTTCTTTTCTTGTATATCCCTTAAATAAATAGCTCAAAACAACAAAATATAACGTAGAACATGCTTTCCGGCCAGTAACAGTTCCCGTTAGACTAATAAATCTCCATAACTATTCACAAGTTTCTCTGTAAAAGAAACGGCAACAAGTTGTTAACATTATACTGTTATTTTCGATCATAACATCACTTCCACTCTAACATAACATTACTTACTAACCTATCACTGGTTACAATATTGAAATAACTTTCTTTGGCCATTTTTTTTCAGTAATTACTAGCAGTCAACTTGCAATACTAAAACTAAGTTGTTATGTTCTAATTTTGTTAAGAATTACCTTACCAACATACGAACACAAGTCACATTAATTAGATGGAGGTAGAATGGATGAGAATGTTGATGAACCATGAAGTTGATGGAACTATGGCGCATTAGTTGCAAGATTTTGCCACTTTATTATGACATTTAACGAAAATTCTAGATGAGTCGCATGTTTTCCGATCTTACAAGCTAATTTCCAGTACATAGAATCTAACTGGAATTTTACCCGCTCTATCGAACCAAGAATGCACGTAACATCTAAATTGTAAGAGAAGCACGTTGGTTAGGGAAAGCAGCATGGAGAGTAAAAAAAAAATGCGTTTTAAGACATAGCGTAAGAGTCTCAAAATTGATAAAAATTATACTGTTGATATCCGCTACACAGTAAGTCCGACCTCACCTTGCATACATAATTTTTTCCTCCCATGTTTCAGACTGGTGGTCTTAAAACATCACGTCTTAAGCTGAACTTTTTTACCGGCCGGATGGACTGATTTTGCCATAATTAGCCTTTTAGCTTCTAAGTAAAG